GGGGGAGCAGGGGGATAGACCTAGCTAAGGGGACTTTTTGAACTGGCTCTGAAATACACATGAGCTTTTATGATGCAAGCAGAGCTTAAACTCTGTTACTCCACCTAGGAGGCAGCAGAAACAAAGGCGAAGAGCCTGAAAGCTCATGGGGAAAAGGGGGAATGTCAGTTTGGGTTTCTAGTAGTCTCAACTGGCTATATCACTTCTAGAAAGATAGCTTACTGAAATGGAGAGTGATCCAGAGATTGGGAGGACAGAAAAGAAAACTTGTTAAGCTACAGGAAAAATTTTAATGAGAATTCCAGAATAAGGTCAGTGACAATGGGATTGCAGACAGACTACATTAAATTTGCCATGCAGATGAGACTGGAAAATGAAAAGATTATTATAGCTTCCCAACACAATTTGCATTGATTTGTAGGTTATTGCTTAAGTCAACCATCAGTAAACTATGGCCCAAGAGCCAAATCTGGCCCACCACCTGTTTTTGTACAGTGCTTGAGCTAAGAATGATTTTTATACTTTCGTGGTTGAAAACAAATCAAAAGCCATGACAAATGAAAATTATATGAAATTCAAATTTCAGTGTACAAAAATAAAGTTTTATCGGAACACAGCCATGCTCATTTGTTTATGTATATTGTCCATGGCTGTTTTGGGCCTACAAGGGCAGAGCTGAGTAGTTGCAACAGAAAATGTGTGGCCCAGGAAGCCTAAAATAGTTTCTATCTGAACTTTGACAGAAGAGTTTGCTGACCTGTAGTTGAAGTAGTTGATAATAATGCTTTGGAACCATCAGCTTTACAGATACTGTGCACATGTTCATTCAAAACATCTCAGCTGGACTGGTCTGGTGAAACACGCAGACTAGGAATATCAGTGCTGGTTACCATTACAGAGAATAAGCAAAGAGTTTGAGATCCACTGTTAATCAGTCTATGATGGTGGTGTGATGTGCGGGCTTGTGCTGATAAACTTTCCTTTGAAGCACTGTGAGCCCTGACTTACTCTCCAGTGCTTGCCATGAGGTTTATTTGCCTTAGTGTCTTTTTTTTTTTTTTTTTTTTTTTTTTTTTTTTGCCCTTGCCTTTTTGTTGTTATCTCTGCTTTTCTTTTTTAGTACAATTCTAAATTGACATATTAGGAAGTGATAATGATAATACAACTCTGGACATATTACTTATCTTTTGTCCATTTTAGGCTTCTAAAAATGTACCCATATTTTATTTGCTGTATTCACTTGCTATATTCATTGTCTAATCACACATGTCCTCAAACCGAAAAGAAAAATCACAGAAAAAAGGAAATTTGATGCCACTGAAACTATTAGAATTTATCTAGTCTGTCTGAAGTTGTGATTTTACATGAAAAGGTTCAGAAAAGTTTTTTTTTTTTAAATTTTTTTTTCAAACGTTTATTTATTTTTGGGACAGAGAGAGGAGACAGAGCAAAACGGGAGGGGCAGAGAGAGGGAGACAGAATCGGAAATAGCAGGCTCAGGCTCTGAGCCATCAGCCCAGAGGGAAACCCGACGCTGGGGCTCGAACTCCTGGACCCATGAGATCGTGACCTGGCTGGACTAACGAATGACCTTTCGCCACCAACCGAATATGCCACGCACCTTGTGTTTTTTTTTTTTTTTTTTAAATTTTTTTTTTCAAACGTTTATTTATTTTTGGGACAGAGAGAGACAGAGCATGAACGGGGGAGGGGCAGAGAGAGAGGGAGACACAGAATCGGAAAGGGTTCAGAAAAGTTTCAACAGGCCACAATAATCGTTGGACAGGATTTCTGTACAAGAGGGGTTAATTACATTAAGTGTCTATTGATAGGCACTTTATTCCTCCATTTTACCTATTTTTTTTGAGCATACTTCAACCACATGTAATTAGGAATAATTCAGTATTGGATCTCTTGCTGAGAGAGCAACAAAAAAAGTAATTAAGAAACAGGGTGAATCAGTTTGAAAAACAATGCCATATAGACTGGGAAGAGAAGAGATAATGTTTCAAATGACTAACATCTCAGCAATGTGGTCATTACCATTATTATTAATAATGAAAATAACGATACTAATAACAGTCCTTGCTGACTGTTTTCTACTTGTGAACCCAGAGTAATAAAAAAAAAATTATCATTTTAATCTCTATATAGCTCATCACGTTAGGTGGGGTCTGAAATTATTATCTTTGGTTTTGACCTGAAGAAAATAAGAGAGAGAATAAGAGAATCTATTGGTACAAGATTATACAATAAATAAGTTGGTGGCAGGACTCAGAATCAGACTCTCTTAATTGTTTATTCAAAGTGTTTTTGGTAGATTCCCTTTTCTCTTTGTCCCATGCTGTCCCCGTTGTCCCTTCAAATTACCAAAGACAGAGCATCACCAAAATTGTTGTGAATCGTGGGGGTTAGGACAGTACCTTGGGCACAATAGTGATGGGAAATCCATAAAAAGACAGGTATAATCTTCCTTGTTAATTTTTTTTTACCTTTTTAAAAATCTCTCTCTCTTGTTTAATTCAAAAGCTATTATGTTTGTGGTTTTGAAAAAATGAATGCATCATAACACAAAAAGTAAATAAAATGAAAGTCTCTCATATTTCTGCTATTCCACTTCTTGCTATTAGTAATTTTGTGTCTCTTTCTCTACATTTTGCTATGCACACATGTAGTTTCATTATTTAAAAACAACTGGAACATAGAATGCATATATTTCTGCAACATTTTTTCATTAAAATATATCATTGACTATTTGAATGTTAATACTTCTAGATTTACCCCATCAATTTAACAGCTGCATTGTTTTACTTTGCTGTCTTGATTAAAAGTTATCATAGAGCAATTAGAATTTCTGCCATATTTCACAACTCTACATAGTGATAATATATTTTTGATAATTACAGCACCTTTCCAACAATTACAAATTCATATTCTTCATCTGGCATGTTTTGACATTAGTTGAGAAGCCCTTCCCTCCCCACATTCCCCCCAAAGTTTTGCTTACGTCTGCTATATCCATCTCCTTTCTTCTGCAACAGGTGAATAGCAAGCATTCAGAGATGAAGGAGCAGGGATCAGTTTTTAGGTTTCTTAGGCACATTTGCACATAAAAAATAATAACCTCCTCGTGTAGCAGTCTTTTTATATTGCAGTAATTGCCGTTCTAGGATCAGGTGTTTGGAATATCACTCAAGGGAGGACTGAAGATTGAAGAGACGGGGGAGAGGAAGGTGAAGTTTCCTTGGCTATAATCCCATAGGAAAATCACAGGAACAAGGGAGGAGACCAAACAGAGTCTCTGGAGTCTTTCCCTATATCTCTGTGTTTTCAGGAGGGGCAGAATCATATCTCAATGATGACAGTATTGACTTCTGTGACGGTGTTCCCACAGAATAAAACATGGAGACAGAGCCAGGGTATGATGAGGTATGATAGGGACCAAAATGATATCACTTCCTCGTCCTACATAACTGGAAACAGAGTCCCCTTGATTCCTGTAAGCAAAAATTATTTATTGCAAAATGCTTTCCAGTTTGCAAGAAGTTTTCACATTCATGACCTCATGCAAGATTCTGCAATCAATCATGTGCTTTAGACAGAATGGCTATCCTGTCCCTTATCAATGAATGGGCAACTTAGTTCAGAGTTTAAATGATTTTTCCAAGTTTCATAGCTACTAAGGAAAGAGGTGACTCAGAGTCCTCCTTATTTTGGTTGAACTTCCCATGTTCCTCCAGGATAGCACCACACTTTCTCACCAGTCCTCATGTACCAGACAGTGCTCTGGAGACAAGCATGCGTGCCAATGATTCTACCAGTATCTCAACACATTTAAAATAACAGCATCCTTATTTAAAATAACAGCAACTCTGACTTATTATTTTATTTTCTCCAACTTTTGAGTTTGCTTAGCAACTATTATAGCACAAGGGAACAGCAACTGTGATAATTAAACAAAAACCTGGTTGACAAACATTTTTCGGTAACATGCTTTTGAAGAAAGAACAAATGGGAGAGGTTGAGGGAATCTTACACAGAAGGGATTTCCTGCAGTGTTACTGAAATTTGGAGTCAAACAGGTTCTTTGGAAGAGAGTTCTGGGTATCTTTTATGTGTATCCTCATAGTTTGTTTGGAGACAAATTAGAAAAATGGAAGGAGAATAGAATTAGAAATTCTATCTGGAATAGTATAGATCAAGCTGTAATGCGTTTCATGGACCATTTAAGATTCTAGAGTGGTAGAAATAGGCTTTAAACATTTTTATAACCTCTACAGTTCCTAACTCAGTATTTTGAACCTAGCCAGCTCTGTAAATCATAACTAACACTTACACAGCACTTTCTACATGCCAGGCACTGTGGTAGGCACTTTACATATAGTAATTCATATAATCCTTACAAAAATCCAATGAGGGGCGTCTGGGTGGCTCAGTCGGTTAAGCGTCCGACTTCAGCTCAGATCACGATCTCGCGGCCCGTGAGTTCGAGCCCCGCGTCGGGATCTGGGCTGATGGCTCAGAGCCTGGAGCCTGCTTCCGATTCTGTGTCTTCCTCTCTCTCTGTCCCTCCCCCATTCATGCTCTGTCTCTCTCTGTCTCAAAAATAAATAAAAGTTAAAAAAAAATTTAAAAATCCAATGAGATACGTACTGTCATTATCATCTTCACGTTATGGATGAGGAAACAGGCACAGAGATGTCAAATTACTTGCCTAAGGTCAGGCAACCAGAGGCCAGGATTAGCTTCAGCAGCCTGGGACCAGGGCGTGCTCTAAACCAAAACGGTACTCTACCACCTGGGTGTCCTGAATTCCCCAGAAATGTCTGCTTTAACTAAGGAATACATGTGGCACATACTGTGATATAACCCATTTATATGCTTTCTTTCTCAGGCGAGCTGTGGTGAGGGCCAGAAAGAGAACTTGTTTGGAGCCCTGGGCTATTGGCCTCATCACTTTTATATCCCTGATTGTCCTGGCAGTGTGCATTGGACTTACTGTTCATTATGTGAGATACAGTAAGTATGGGCTGCCTTGGCATCATGTGATTTACCCCCAAATGTTTCCTCTTGTGCATTCCAGTTTTGATTTGCCTCAGGCCTATTCATTCATGCCCACAACTTATTTGCATAGCTGGTACAAAGAATTCTTTACCTACCTGTCTCTTACTTAATCCTCACAAGCCAAGAAGGATTCTTTCATCTATCTTTGATGTAGCAATGCTTCCTGCTGGGAATAGCATGCTAGTTTTAATATTCGTTAATAAGCGATAATCAAATATTAAATAGGAAGACCATAGGAGAGTTAGAGTCCACTGTGTTGAGTTGTTTGAAGACATAGGACAATCACCTTGATTTAAAATTATTCCAACTTATTGAAATCCTGAGAGCCCAATAAATTAATTACATAATCAAGGATCAGAGAGAAGTAGGCTCTATTCTTTACAAGTAAGATAGAGAAATGCTCATAATGATATATTGTTGAATAAGTGCCCATTTCTGTTATTTTAAATCTAATCTCGGAATATATTACATGTGATTAAAGAGGATAGGATATGCTGAGAAGGTTAATTATAAAGAGGTTCACTCTGGTAGTCAGGTGTCTCATATCTAGGTGAACCATGAGTGTGCTATGTTATTAGAAAGGTCCCCAGGGTGCTTTAGGACTATTCTTCTATAACAACCCTTCTGAAGTTTCCCTCTACTTTGCTTGGGGTAGTAATTACTTGACTCCACTATGACCTATTGGCTTAATATCTCCCTTAGTGACTAACTAATTCTTTGATGTCAAGACACTGTAACCAAAGAAGCTAATCACTTGATTCAAATTTAATTGCAAATTTGCACAAGTTGCTTTCCTATAAAGAGACAGTATGATCAGTAAATTGGTTATCTACTTCCACTAGCAGACATAATCTCAATTCCAATCTCAAATCCAATCTCAATTTCTAAAGCAAGGTGGACCATTTCTGGGTAGTTTAAAGTAAAAATATTTAAAGTAAATACTTGTTTTGGTAGAATTTGCCCACACACAAATCTTTAAATTTGGAGTATCTATATTTTGATGATTTCTCTGGAGCATGTTTTTAATTAAAAAAAAAAAAAAAAAGAATGGCTAAAATAACTTAATTCTATAGTTCTGTTATGAATATATTGAGTCTCATTATATTATAAACATCATTATTTCTCTCTACAGATGCCTAGCACTGTATGATAAAGATTAGTGAGGAGTATCTAGGTGGCTCAGTCTGTCAAGTGTCTGACTCTTGGTTTCAGCTCAGGTCATGATCTTACAGTTCGTGAGTTTGAGTCCCAGGTTGGGCTGTGCTGACAATGCAGAGCCTGCTTGGGATTCTCTCTCTCCCTTTCTCTCTCTGCCCCTCTCCTGCTCATGCTGTCTCTGTCTCTCTCAAAATAAATAAACTTAAAAAAAGATTAGTAAATCATATGTATGATATCTTCATGGGGGCATACTTTGGTTTGTCTGACTTCACAAGGAATTCCTAGTAATGCTAGAGGTTTCATTACTGAAGTGAGAGAAAATGTTTCTTACTATTTCTCCTTTGCTTTTTCTAAGCCATGCATTATAAGGCTTACAAATCTTACTCACATGCATAAAATGAAAACCTGGCAAGGTTTTTCCAGTAACTTGTTCCTGGATCCTATTGTCTGGATGATCAGTATGGTAATATGGAACACTCAACTTCCACTGCCCACACAGCACATCTGAATAAATAGTGATTGTTGTGATATGTGTTACTGTCTTACATGTATGACCCGCCCTCTGTTTGGAGATATAAACAAAGAACAGAGTGGATATAGCACATGAGCATTGAGGAGTTGGCACACCTAGATAACCAACTAAACCAAATAGTTACGGAAACAGACAGGTTAGGATGGAGGTAATTCACCTTGAAAAAAAACACCGTTTTGGCAAAAAGTCCAGGACAGCATAGAATTGTGTGGGCGGCTTCTATCCAGTGGCCTTTAGGTCTGCCTTTTTGCCCTTTTGTAAATTGTCTGACAGGAGGTGACTCTCTTATGAGCGATATCCTTATAGGTTACAGATTCAGGAACTTGTTAGAAAATTATCAGCAAACTAGTGTTCATCCTTATTTTTCTTACTTTTCTGTTAATATTCCTCAATAATATTTCCCAACAACTACACATGCCATATAATTTTGGCAACTGGGAATATATTTTGACTCTTAGTGACCTATTTGAGTCTCTTCAACAAAGTAAAATATTGACTACAGATAAGTTGTTCATTTGGGTGAAACATATGAAATTGTTATATTTGAGCATATTTGGCTTATACAAATGGCAGTTTCAAAAAGTCAATCTAATAATTTAAAACAGAATAAGAATAATATGTATAAGTCAGTTCTCTCTACTTTTCAGTGAGGGGATAGGTACCCCACCAGTAGTATTACATGGGAGCTTGTTAGAAATGAGGATTATTATGCCCAATTTAGACCCAATGTTCAGTATTTCAATAAATTAAAAACCTTCTTTGGGATTATGTGTATTTCCAGGGAACTTCCTGGATTTCAGGTCATTCTGGCCTTTCAGGGCAAGACCGTTCAGTGAAAGGGAGGTAAGGAAAGAGGGAACAAGGCAAAACCTCCCTAGCACCTCACTTTGGTGGCTCATTTCCAGGAGGTCTTAACATTTCAGGCTGCCATCCAACATCTTTTGCATCACTGACCATTCCTTAGCCATTCCCTAGCCTTGCCAACCCAACCAAATCCTCTGGATGGCTCGGATGTTCTTTTGAAATTTACCAGTAGTTTTTTCCCAAAACTCTTATGTATGAGAGACTTCTTATACAGCTTCAGTGAGTGGGTTTGGTTTTTCCCACCCAAAAAGTGGTATGTAAAGAAAGTTTGTGTTATGAGAATTAGAGGTTGACTTGAAATCCAGTTCTGTCTTTTCTGGCTATGTCATGTTAGAGTTGGGCAATTTCCTTACATTTCTGAGACTGTAGTCTTTACCTGTTAAATGTGGACATACTGCCTTCCCATGGAGAATATAGCAAACTAATGTTAGTTTCCCTTTCCTCTGGGGTTCAAGTGAAGAGGAAAAGAATGAGAAGCAAGAGAGAAGAGGAAAGAAATTGAGATTGCATGAGGCACACTCCATTCTCCTACAATAACCACACACAACTGTCTTGATCACCATTATATTCCTAATACTCAACACAGAGTCTTTCATAGAAGAATTAATATTTGTTGAATTAATGAATCTTCTTAAGGTCCCATGCTTGCTTCAGGTATAGAAGGGTAGATGAATACTGCGTTAATTTTCAGCAGGCCCAAAATGAGGGCTGCTTAAACCGGATGAAGAAATTGTAGACAATGGCTAAGGAAACAGGACACTCTTTATGGCTGGTGGGAGAAAATAAATGGAGTGAGAAGCGAGTCAGGTGAAATTAAGTGTCCCTGGAAGGTTATGTCAGATGGCAGCTCTCGCTCTCTACCTGAACTCCAAGCATTTTCATCTCTACCCTTATCTCCTTCTTTAGCCCCAAAACATTTTCTTACACTATGGTCCCTGTGGCCAGAATTGATATTTAGTTTCCTGAATTGGAAGAAATCTACTTCTGGAATATAAAAGTAAGTTTACTCTTTGGAAACTTCTGAGTCCATTTTATTTTGACACTTCTTTAAAAAATTTAAATCCAAGTAAGTTAACTTATAGTGTAATGATGGTTTCAGGAGTAGAATTTAGTGATTCATCACTTATATATAACACCCAATTCTCATTCCCACAAGTTCCCTCCTTAATGCCCATCACCCATTTCGCCCATTCCCCCACTCAACACCCCTGTAGCAACCCTCAGTTTGTTCTCTGTATTTAAAAGTCTCAAATGGTTTGCCTCCCTCTCTGTTTTTATCTTATTTTTCCTTCCCTTCCCCTCTGTTTGTCTGTTTCGTTTCTTAAATTCCACATATGAGTGAAATCATATGATGTTTATCTTTCGCTGACTGCTGAGTCCATTCTTGTTTGTACGTTCTGATGGTGTAACTTGCTGCCTCTCGTGGCTAATTCAGGAATGGGTAACAAATGACTAATCAGCCCGCAGGAACACCAAGCATTTCTTTTGGCTTTTACACTCTAAATCTTATGATGATGAGTGTTGTTTTTTATTCTGAGATAACCAGGAAGCTCAGGGCAAGATAATGGAGATGACGACACTCTTTCTGGTCTAAACAGGGAAATAATGATGCTTTACACACATCTAATTAAAAGTATTATGGGTTTTTTTTTTTTTTCCCTCTCTCCTCATAGACCAAAGGAAGACCTACAATTACTATAGCACATTGTCATTTACAAGTAACAAACTATATGATGACTTTGGAAAAGAGGCTTCTAAAAATTTCACTGAAATGAGCCAGAAAATTGAATCAATGGTAAGCACTTTTTTCTCCATTTCTAGGCATTTGCAATCACTTTATATCATAAGTTTTGGTACCTAGCTTCCAAAACATCCATTCAACTGATCTTGTGTATCTTTGAAAAATGGGAAGCAGCCCTGCCTGAAAGATATAAAACAAACTGACAGTACATGACTTGGAGAGCACACCTTGCAGGGCTGAGGCAAGTGAACTGTAGACTTTCCTTCATGTCCCTCCGCTCTTCCATAGCTAGTGCTACAATCTTGATGAGTGGAGTCCAGGAATTTTGGGAATGTGAGGGTGACCCAAAATATGACTGTTGTATCCTATAGAAGACACCTTGAGCAAAAGACCATGAGACTGAAACTATTCAGACACATACTTGAATGGTATTTTGGTATTCAAAAATATCTGACCTTGGGCTGGTTTTTGGTATATGAGTCTATAGGAGATACATGGATACTCATCTCTACCTTTAAGACATCAACATTCATCCTCAGAGATGAATCAAATATTTTAAAAAGTGGAAAAATTATCAGTTTAGGCCAAGAGAGCAACAGTCTGTGTGATGATTCGAATCATTATCAGATTACTTAGAGAATAATTTGGACTTTTCCTGACAGTGTATGAGGTAATTTGTGGCATATGATATGATGAAAATACCCTAAACTAGAAGTTGGGACACTTAGTTTTAGAACCACCTGTTACCAATTTTCATTCTGGACAAATTTTCTTATGTGAAAATTAAGGTACTAGACTAGATAATTTTAAAATTGTCTTCCATATCCAAAATCCTGAGTAAGAACATAATGGCAGTTATGTGCATAGAAACTGCCTAATAGACTAGAAGCCTGAGGATTTAAATACATTTGTAAGGAGAGGGTCAAATCCTGGTTGAATTTGTACTTATAAACAACAAATCAGGAAAATATCTGAATATACTCTCTTCTAAAACTATATTTTATATATATATATATATATATATATATATACACACACATATATATAGACTGTATATGAATATACTCTCTTCTAAGACTATATATATATATATATATATATAAAATAAAGAAAAGAAAATGGAACTAAAAAGGTCAAAAAAGATGCAACTATTTGCCTTGTTTTTTGTGACATTCACTAAAATAAATTTTATAAGATCCAAAATGATTTACGTATGAAGGAATATAGATAGGACTCTGGAACACTCTTAAAATTAATAATAATTTTTAAATTATTTGATTAAATATAAGCCCTTAAATAAAAATATCCAAGTGAATGTTGTCATTAGAGGACTCACTTGTACTATGCTGATCTGTCTTATAATTGAAGTAACTGCTCTTGGGCACAAAGAGGAGTCAGCAAAAGATATGAAAGAATAAAAAGGCTCATTGTTCCTGTCAGTCAATCACTAGCTTGTAGTAACTGTGTTTGGTTAATATTCACACACTTGAAACCAAGAAATACTTGACATGTTTACCTTGACTTCTAATTTAAAATTTTAATTTGGCTAGAATTCTTTAAAAAAAATTTTTTTTTAATGTTTTTATTTATGTTTGAGACCGAGAGAGAGAGACAGAGACAGAGACAGAGCACGAGCTGGAGAGGGGCAGAGAGGGAGAGGGAGACATAGAATTGGAAGCAAGCTCCAGACTCCGAGCAGTCAGCACATAGCCCCACGCGGGGCTCAAACTCATGGACCATGAGATCATGACCTGAGATGAAGTCAGACGCTTAACCGACTGAGCCACCCAGGAGCTCCAAGTTGGATAGAATTCTTAATTATAGTAGTAAGAAATATCTCCACAAGATACATTCTGGTATCTTATTAAAGTAAACCTTACAGAACATATTAGGCTAAGTATCCTAGTTCACATGGGCCTTTCTAAGAGCATTTTGAGTACTGAAGTGGGTGCAGATAATGCCAGGATATTTGGTAACTTCTTCACAAGGTTTAAGAACCACATGACACTGTCATACACCGACATCTATGATCCAACCATCAGTTGGCGGAACTATTCAATTTCCTTTGTTTACCTACAGTAGAAGTCTGTATCTCAGGGTATGAATATTTACTCTTTCTTTTCATAAAACAGTGTGTTTATTCCTTTTTAGTCTCTTTCTGAGTGTACACAGCAGATGTCATTCTTGGCCAACTACTGTGGTTCCCAGATAACTCCTAAGGCAGAGTTCAGTTGAAATCACTGAGTAGAATACCAGAAAAGATGCTTTGAGATTCTTCAAGTTGAGTGAATTGTGAAATGTTGATTAATGTTTCTTGTTTTGCTTTGTTTTATTTTTAAATTTTCCATAGAGCTTTAAATTGACTTGTAGAAAATTATTCTTGCTGATGTATGTTGAATATTTTTGGAACAGGTAAAAAATGCATTTCATAAATCTCCATTGAGGGGAGAGTTTGTCAAGCCTCACATTATCAGGTTCAGGTATGTAAATCTAAAATGCTGACTTCTGAATATAATTTAAAACTAAAGCTGTTAACTTGGATAGTAATAAATACTATTGGAAATATTAATGATATGATATAATTCAATTAAACCAATATTCATTTGACAACTGTTCTAAGGCACGGATTATAATTTGCTTTACTCATTCTCTAAATCCATAAGAAAGCATTTGCAAGGTGAGGTAAGGGACGAGTATTATTGGTGGCTATATTATTGAATTGTTCTTTGGGAATCTAATTACAAAAATAGGGACCTAAGCCATATACCTTAGTTTAATAACCAATTTTTCCCTCTATAAAATAGCATAGTAGATGAGGTTTGTCTTACCCTCTTCATTCTCCTCTTTATGAATTTTGTTTACTTTTTTCATCTCTGTCTCTTTCTGCTCCAAATATTTATTTAAGAAAATTCCAGATCTTATCATCTACCATCAATAAATAGAAGTTCAGAGCACAACATTTTAAGCAAAATACTATATAAGTATCTTAAATAATATATTGTCTTAATAAAAATTATTTGTATTTTTAAAAAACAGAATGAGAGCTGTTTCCAGTATCATTTCAATGACAAAAACTGCAAGTTACCTCTCAGTCTATCATTTAGCTGACATCTCTAAATGTCTAAACATTTCTAAATGAGGTGTTACTTTGACCACTTTCTTCTGAGAAGTCTGTATTCCCTGGGATTTGAAATACTATTCTTTCTTGGATCTGTATCTACCTCTCCAATCCTTAAATTTTCACTCTCTCAAGGGGACTTCATGCACCCACATGACTTCGTACTATCGAAATCCAAATTTCTATTTCCAATCTAAACTGTTTTTCTGATTTCTAGAGCTATCTGCCTGCCCATGCACATCTCCACATGTAGGTTCCACAGAAAATTCTCTAACTCAAGTGAAACCCACTGACACTAATGGGAAACCTGGACATCATCCTACACTCCTCCATTTCCTGGGCCCCTCACATTTTATGAATAGCCATGTTCTTCCAGTTCTACCTTCCAAATCACTTTCCAATTTGTTTACCTCTTCATCTTAGTAACCTTCTTACTCATTAGTATTTTTTCTGCAATCAGTGGGAAGCAATGCAAGTTTGTACAAAAGATGAAGTTAGTCTTACAGATTTTAAGCTGAGATGCTAGGGGACATGAGCCTGAAATACGAGTCTCACTCGGGGGAGGAAAAGGGAGCTGAGTTGAAGATATGCCTTTGCCCATTCTCAATCAAAGTACTAGAGAGTGTGGAGGTAACCAGAATTTTTCAGAGAAAGGGTAATGCAAGGAAAAAAATGATGATGGAGAAAGCCTGAAGAAAATAATACTTAAGGACATGGGGGAAAAAATAGGAGCCAAGGAAATAGGGAAGGAGAAAGAAAAAAGAGATATCATGAGAAAGGCACCACTGATACAAAAGACAAAAAGTTTCAAGCATGGAATGGTCAGCATTGACAAATACTCCCGAGAGACCAAGTGATATGACCAGAAATAATTAACTGGATATGCCAATGAGGAAGTCATTTAGTGTACAGAAAAGACTCAGTGGGATGGAAAGGGAGGAAGTAGATTGCAAGGAAGTAAATATGAGGCACAGTGTAATTTACCCTTTCAAGAAGGTTTGTTGTGATAAGGTGAGAGATAAATTGAATAGCTGGGGTAGAGAGACAGTTTTGTTTGTTTTTGTTTCTATTAGTCAACCAGTATAGGAATAGTTTAAGAGAAGGAATAAAGAATAATTGTTGTACGGTGTTGCTTAGTCAGTGAAAGGGGTGAGATACATAACAATATTCTCATTAAAGTCCTATTTGTTTTTTCAGATTACAAAAACAATATAAAATATATAAAATTCAAATAACACAATATCACATAAAATAGAAGGCAAAAACTCCCTCTCTAATAATTCCATTTGCAGAAGTAACATAGCTTCTTAACAATTGGTTGTGTGGTATTTCACTACAAGTATGTGTCAGGGTTGATTTAGCCAATGCCCTTGTGATGGACACTTGGGTTGTTACATATTTTTTTCTGATTTAAAAACAAGGTTATGATAAACATTTGTATAAATCTCTTTGCACACACAAAAGTTTATTTGAAGAGAGTGCTGTATCAGAGAAATGGATCATCAAATGTATAATTGATAAACAAAACTGACCTCTAAAAATAAGGTTCTAATTTACATTCCCATTTACAGTTTATATGAGAAGTCAATACACTGTATAGTGGGGAGTAAAATTCTTTGAGAACTGATTATATATGAAAAAAAAGGAGGTAGAGTAGCTGACAGAAAATGAGAAAGAGAAGTCAAGGATGATTCCAGGAAGTAATTCATCCAAACAACACTAAGGCTAATTAATGCTCTATCTTGAAAATATAATCACATGAAGTAACAACAATTTGGTCAAGCTTTCTAATATCCCTAGGATTAGAAGTTGTTTAGGAAAGCATGAAGTTGCTTAGGAGATTTCACTGGATTTAAGCCACTGGGAATTAAACCTGGAGGCCAAACCCAGAGTTGATTTCACATTGATCATATGGTATATTTAATATTATTAAATGGTTGACAAGAGGGTATCTTTTTATATTAATAACTAGATATTTTGGTGTTAAAGGACACCATGAGCATACTATCTTACTATCAGGGAGGCTAAGTTGGAAGTTTTATATGTGGAAAACAATAGGAATATAGAATGAAACAAATTGGATCTTTTAAATTACATTATGGATTTGTTTTGTGTGTGTGTTTCAAATGGATGATAAAGAAAAAAATAGATTGTGATATCACCACAAATCTAATTTTGAACTTTATCTTTAAAACCATTTTTTTCTGTTTTTCTTTTTGATCCACAGTCCAGAGGAACATGGAGTGTTGGCTCATATGTTGCTGATTTTTAGATTTCGCTCTACTGAGGATTCTGAAGCCATCAATAAAATTATTCAACGTGTTCTAACTGAAAAGCTGCATGATGCTGTAGGACCCCCTAAATTAGATCCTGAATCAGTTGAAATTAAAAGTAAGTTTCTTTCTGTTATTTAGCTTAATTTTCTTACATAGAACAGCTCCATATTAGTTTTGGTCTTAGGCACTGATTTTCTTTCTTTCTTTCTTTCTTTATTTATTTAAAATCCAAGTTAGGTAACATATGATTTCAGGAATAGAATTTAGTGATTAATCACTTAAATATAACACCCAGTGCTCATCCCAGCAAGTGCCCTCTTAGGCACTGACTTTTAAAAATTGTTTTGGATATCCTTTAATTATGGAGTCTTGCCATCAATAGAACATTTATTTGGGACTAAATTGGTCCTAATAAAGTATTTTAATTTTAATACTACCCTAAACTTATGTCTACTATGCACATCTCTCATTAACCCCGGGTCTGTGTTCTTTCTCTGTATTGGGACTTACATCTCAGCTCTAGCATCCAATTATACATGGAGAAAGTGGCTTTGTGCATTCTTCTTCTTGTTGCTTCCATTTTATGTTCTGAGAGTATGATGTATGGAAAGGTTCATGCCATTCACACATTTGCCTTCAAGTTACATTGATATACCTTGTTATAGCTTCTTTCCTTAGACCATTTACCAATGAAAAATTTATAATTTATTTATACTTATTTTTTATATATTTTACAACTAATTTAAAAAGTCTGAGCTTTTTGTGTGGAGGATAGGGGAATGAAATAAGCAGGAGTATGTCCTCATTACCAGAAAGGAAGAAATATAGTAGATCCTCAGTGGAAATAAATGTTTCGTTAAGAGTTGTGTGCTATAGAACAATGCTAGTCATAGAAATACCATGTGGGCCAACCCTATGATCTTAAATTTTCTAGTATCCACATTAAAAAAGCAATAGTAAACATGTGAGCTTCATTTAAATAGTTTGATATTTAACCCACTATATCAAAGTATTATTATTTCAACAAGTAGTCAATAGAAAAATTATTCATGAGATATTTTATATTCTTTTTTTTTGTACTAAGGCTTTGAAATCTAGTGTATATTTTGTTATTTATAGCACATTTCAGTTTAGACTCGCCACATTTCAAGAGCTACTAGGCACATGTGGCTAGTGGACACAGTATTGAACATGGCAGCACTAGAAAATAGAGAAGTGGGAACAAGTAGAAAGTATGAACATAATGTGCTAACATAAAAGCTGATAGACCTAACTAGCAGCATGACCTAATGGTCACCTACCCTGTTTGCTTAGGAAGAAAGACTTGGATAGTTAGGACCAGCTACATAATTTATGGGGCCTAGTGCCAAATGCTGGACTCTTCAAAAAGCAACAAAAACTTACCACTAAGAGTATTGATATATAAGATTTCTTTCTTCTACAGTCTCTCTTGACTCGTCATGGTATTTTTATTTGCTAATTAATGCCATTCTATGTGAAAAAATTAAAATTTTAAATTACTAGCATGAGATGTATCGTTCCTCTTCATGTTGTAAAATATCAATTTCAAATGCAAATGTAAAAGCATTTAAGTATGTGGAATTATGAAAATTATACAACAGTATTTCACACATGCATGAATTTGGCTCTAATCAGATCGATAGAAAAACTATACAAGACTAGCTTCACAGTTTTTTTTTTTCCCCTTGTTGATATGTGCACATTTTACCAATGTTCTCTACCTTCGGCTTAAGTAAGAAAGACCTGAAAAGTCCTTGTATGTCATTATTTTCAGCAGAAGCTGTTGGCTAATATAAAAAAGTAATGGGAGCAAGAAAGGATATAATAGGGCCCTTGGGTGGTTTGTGTCTAGTAGAATGCTATTGCTTTCTTTCTGTGTTCTGAGCAAGTCCTGCTTCAAACAGAAAACATGGTCTCCTGGACTGTCACTGCGTCCTGGTTCCTTAATGGTAAGCATCACACACTTATTTTGTACTCACTTTGAGTTTGCTGAATGTTGTGGATCCACTGGAATTCTGAGTTCATTGGGTATCACAAGTGACATATGCAAATGGGCACCAGGAGCCCATGGACACATATATTGTGTGTTATCTCCTCTGTGCATGTCATACCCCATTGCTCTTCAGACTTCACTTTTATTTATTTTTATTTTTAAGTTTATTCATTTATTTTGAGAGATGGGGGAGGGGCAGAGAGAGGGAGAGAGAGAGAATCCCAAGCAGGCTGTGTGCTGTCAGTGCAGAGCCCAGTGCGGGGCTCTATCTCACAAAGGGTGACTTCATAACCTGGGCCAAAACCAAGAGTTGGAGACTTAACTGCCTAAGCCACCCAGGCTCCCCCAGACTTCACTTTTAAAGCACAAATTATAAAATAAAAAATATTAAGAATTTCAAGACAGTGAGCATTAAACCAAGTGCACGGTCATGCTGAGTGCAGAGCCCAATGTAGATACACATCCATTAAGATGGCCCTTTAAGTAGTATCAAGAGCAAAGCCAGAACTTTCTCTAGGAAAAGTCTGAGCTAGAGAAGAACAGGTTATTTGAAACAAGGAGATAAGAGGTGATGATATTTAATATCTACAGAGAATAGTCACTTCTTTATTTGAGCCATTTCCCCCCAAAATAGCCAGAATGGAGAAAGTCAGAAAGAAGCTTTCTAGAATATAGATTTCTGGCATATAAATACTATTAAAGACTAAAAGAAAAATTAACATTAACATTTTTGTATTTAGAACACTGATTCTGCCATGTTCAAAGAGAAGAATTTTGGTCATTGGAAATCTACTGAATCAGGACATTTAACTGTGTGGAGTTTTATGTATCTGTTGGTTGGCTTAATGCTTGCATAGGGTTAGAGCCTGATTGTTGAGAAATAAATAAGTTAAGGAGCCATGCGCTAAAGTTGAAAAGAGGGCAAATTGTCTTTGCAAATTTCAGCAGAAAGAAAAATTAGAGAGATAACATTCTTTTTAAGTGAGAGTGAGGATGGATTTATGGACCTGCCATTCAAAAATGTTATACAAATGGGACGATGCCTGTGAGTTTAGTGGGGAAAAAATCTGAAATAATGGTCAGTAAAAATATCATTGCATTTAGGGAATCAATACCATGGTTTAGAAAAGTATTTCCACAAAAGGGGGAAATACTGCATCTTATTTCTGGTATGAAACTCAGATTCCTGGGTTTCATCATAAAACTACTGAATCACAATTACTGGGAAGAGGAACAGGAACTGACAGTATAAAGACGCTCTCTCTGTGACTGTCATTCAGACTAAAGTTTAAAAACGCTGTTCAGATCTCCCTTTTCTCCAAGGTAATGAACATGCTCTACATATGATAAACTAACTGTGTTGCTATTTTTTTTTTTTTTTTTTTTTTTTTTTTTTTTTTTTTTTTTTACAATCTAGAGGTTCTGTCTTATAACGGAATTAACCAGCCTTTCCTATTTAAAGTACTCAGAGGCATTATGAAATCCTGATGTGCTGGCCCTGTTCTATTCACCATTTCTGTGTATTTCAGAAATCAACAAGACAGAAACAGACAACTTTCTGAACAGTTGTAAGTGTAACATATTTATTAAAATTGCATTACTTGAATGTTAACACTGGATCATTTAGGCTTACTTTGTGTGATATTATAGGGTCAGAATAAAGTTTGATTGACCTGTGCACAGCTCATGGTGCTTTATCTTATTGTTGAAGCACATTTTATTACTAAATAATGAAAAAAATTGGGAGAACTTTGGAGTGGATATATGGGTGTCTGTGGCACAGGTATAGTGGAAATGAGTTGTACACTTGTTAAAGAAGGGAAAAAAGACTCAGTGTTCTGGCTGCAGATATCTATAATAATACTCTTACAAACATTTTCTAAAGATTATATAAAAGTAAACGGCATGTTGGCATTTTTCAGCTATAGGCAGAAGCTCATTGTTACTCTACACTAAACAAAATCTTAATGATGATTTTTTTTAAGTTTTTAACGTTTATTTATTATTGAGAGACAGAGAGAGACAGAGCATGAGCATGGGAGGGGCAGAGAGAGGGGGAGACAGAATCTGAAGCAGGCTCCAGGATCTGAGCTGTCAGCACAGAGCCCAATGTGGGGCTTGAACCCACGGACTTTGAGATCATGACCTGAGCCGAAATCAGATGCCCAACTGACTGAGCCACCCAGGTGCCCCTTTATGATGATTGTTAATCCCATACTATGGAAATATCAGGCAACTATGGGGTTGGGTATGTATTGATAAAATTACTGAAAGCTCAGATAGTATCTTTACCCATATTTTATTTATTGTTTTTTTAAGTTTATTTATTTTGAGGGAGAGAGAGAGCATGAGTGGAGGAGGGGCAAAGAGGGAGGGAGGGAGAGAGAGAGAGAGAGAGAGAGAGAGAGAGAGAGGGAGAGAGAGAGAATCCCAAGCAGGCTCCATGCTGTCAGCGCAGAGCCAGACGTGGGGTTGAACTCTCAAACTGTGAGATCGTGAACTGAGCTGAAATCCAGAGTTGGACGCTTAACTGACTGAGCCACCCAGGCACTCCTACCTATATTTTAAAAGTACTGACTCTAGGCCTAGTATTTCCCTTCACCTACAGCAGATTACTCCACCATGATTTAGAGGATACATTTGATAATTATGGAGTTAGTACATAATATATTTTTCTTAAATGATGGAAGGAAATGTGCTACTCACCAGCTTAGAATATCCGTTAATTCATGAGCTTGATTAAACATGAGACCAAAGAATAATCCTGTTACGTAAATGGCATGTATTCTTGCGACCGATATTTATTGTGCTAGTGATGTATTAAGCAATAGAAATATAAAATGGATGAGATATAATACCTGCATAAAGCAGCTTTTACTCTAGTGAGACTAGATGTATGAGATTAATGCATGAACACATAATTCTGAAGCAATGGGTCTCAAGCAAAAGAAATTTTGACCCCCATGGGATCATGACCCACTGTGACTTTGGTTATCATGGTTGTGGGGGGGATGCTACTGGCATCTAATATGTATAGGTCAAGGATTCTTTTGAACATTCGATCATATACAGGATCATATACAGGATACAGTGAAGAATTATGCATCTCAAAAATGTCAATACAGCCAAGGCTGAGAAACCCTGTTATAAACAATACATATACACATATATAATATTATATATGTATATGTATACAATTGGTGTATATATTATTAGTGTATCTATATATAATTAGCATATATAATAAACCCTGTTATAAACAATGCTTATATGTAAATAATATATATAATTAGTGTATATATGATATATAATTATATATAATTAGTACTGGTAACTATACTAGCATATATACATGTATATATAAACAGACATTTATACATATATATGTATATACACAGAGAGAGAGAGAGAAATGATGATGATGATAGAAGTATGAAAAAAGTCGTAACTTATCCAGTTTGGGGGCAGAGGAATTGTTAGAGAAGGCATCCTAGAGGAGGTAATGAATGACTTAATCCTACAAGATGAATAGATGTTAAATTAATGAACCACTATAGTTTAAGGAAAAGTAAGGACAAGAGAAAATGTTTGGTACTATTGGAGCACAAAGTATGAAAAAAATTGAGATAGTAACGCAATTTGATACTTAGAAGCAACTGCTAAGTAAGGCATTGTCTCTCTTTGGCAGGCTGTGGGACACGAAGGAATAAAACTTCAAGACAGAGTCTCAGGATCGTTGGTGGGACACCCGTAGAGGAGGGAGAATGGCCGTGGCAAGCTAGCCTGCAGTGGGATGGGATGCATCGCTGTGGAGCAACTTTAATTAATAGCACGTGGCTTGTGAGTGCCGCTCACTGCTTTAGAACGTAAGTCTTGAAACTTGTGAATGACTGGGGGTAAGCAAAATGCACTCATGCACTCGGGCTTGGCAGGAAGGAAATACCTTGCGAAGTTTGAAAGAGATGAGTTTAAATTTTTTTT